TTTGATTTGCTTTTAGTTGTCTTCACAATTTCTCAATTAAAGTGACGTCTAATTATAAAATTTTGTCCTCTATAATGTGAGTTTTATTAGATCGGTTTTTATTGTAGACGTTTAGTTTTTGAATTATATTGTGACTTAACTCGGATATGTATACACTAATTAGTAATACTTTTGTTTGTTGATTGATGATGGACAAAGACATCTACCTTTTCATGTACATACCATATATCCCTATTTCAGTTTTTGCACAGGACAAGTTTCCAAACTCTCCCTCATTCATGTGAAATTGTTTGGTCCGGCGGATGGACACACAAGAGAACTTCCTATATTGGGTTTAAGTTATAAAGAGGGTAAAATAAAAAAATAAAAAACACTATAGCCGATCGGCTATACTTATTAGGAGGGTCTTTATATAATTCATGTAGCCGGGCGGCTATACATCGCAAGGTGGGTCGCGAATCGGGATACCCGGTGCTTTCTGATTTTTTTTTAAATACTATAGCCGCTGGGCTATATAATTTTTAAAAAACTTTACAAGAATCGAGTGTAGCCGCGCGGCTATACTATGTATGGAAAACAGAAAGGGATTCGCTCAACGATTACGGATCCACGCGTCAAAATATGTATAGCCGCCCGGCTATAAAAAGGCCTAGAGCTTAGGGGTCAGGCGTCAGAAAACATAAAGCCGCGCGGCTATACTATTTTTTAAAATTAAAAAAAGCGGGTATTGCTGCTCGGCCATACTATCCTCTGAGGTTTTTTGTCGATCATTACGGCCTCTCTTGTGGACCCCAATATAGACGGTCCCTGTTATTTATGTTTTTGGCCCGATGAATGGGGGGGTGGTTTGCCTGCGGAATCAAAGAATTTCTAATCATCTTGATGTTTAGCTGAACCGATATTTAAAACATTCATATGGTGCCAGTAGTATTTTCAAAAGATAAGTGGCTTGATATCTTTAAGATCCAAATTACACATAATGTGGAGAGCAATTCATGTCACGTTTCTAGTACCACAAACCGATTGCAAACTCACACTTGCTAATAACTAGAAAAATCAATGACTCAAAAACAATGTTATTGAAACAAAATTACGACAGTAATCCGATATTCAGCCCTGGTCCATCCCAATAATCCCAATAATATTAATCTTCATCCATGCCCTTATTTTGCTCCAAAACTTCTAGTATGTGTATTCCCAGTGGGGCTTGGGCTAGAAGCAAATGATGATGGAAGCACAGTTATAGCAAGCTTCTGGGCACCAACTGCACAATGCATCGCAACACCACAAATGTACCATTTTCTCCCTGCGGTTGCAAGCTTGATCACATCCTTTCGACTTGTTAATGGCAAGGACAGATATTGTTGCAACTTGTGATGGAGCTTAAACTGAATTTTTACGAGTACTCGTCAATGATTGTAAGGATCCAACGATATACACATTGTCTTTCTCTTCATCAATGATTGTAACGATCCAATGACCCCTACATATTAATTGAAATTATATTAGTAATAGTCATAAATATATATTGTAAAAAACAAACCACTTTATTACTTACCCATGATTGTATGGGATCAAAAAGATGCTGTCAATACTAGCTTGGTTCAAAGCTTTCACAATGTATTGAACCCTCACTGCCTCATCCGGTGAGTTCGGATCATGAAAGGTACGACTTGGGTCCATAAATGCAATCATTGGTTCCCATTCTTGGTCTTTTATCAACTTATATAAATAGCTGTTAACCATTATCATAGAGTCAATAAACTGAAATACATGATTAATATTCAAATATAAACATAAAATTATAAAACACAAAGTGACTATTACCTAATATAAGCGGTTATTACAGCTTGTCATATTCCATTCATCTGAATAAAGTTGATAACATCTTCTTTTAGGACATATGTCATCTTTTCTACCCCAAATATGTCCTCATCAATATATGAAGCGAGAGTCTGACCTTGGGACATCAGTTTCTGTGCAAAGCCGTATAAAATCTTGCAAGACTTTGGTACTGTTTCCGAGATAGACTGAAACAATGACTTTGCTAATTTTTCCTTTGTAGTTTTCTTTTTCTTCTCCTATCACATATATCAAAGGGTCGCATATATATTAGGGATAAAATGAAATTCAACAAGTTCAAAAGTAAGGTTGCTTACCACTATATCGTCTAGAAAAACTATAAGATCCTCTGGCCAAGCTACTTGAGACCCAACAACATCCTCAACAGTATTCAACACTCCTTTCATTGGTATCGGCAGTGGAGAAGCTCCATTTGAGGCATAATTAACAGAGACTCTTACATTTCCCTCTCCTAAAGGAACATTATGAAGCAGTTGTTGAGGCACATTGATGTCAACAATTGTGCCACTTGCAACAATATTGTCCTTTGAGCTGAAAGCCAATTTGCAATCCTTACCCTAATACACATATAAAAGACATGTAAACAAAAAAAAATAACAATCAAGCATACCTTAAACTAAATTAAGCATATGCATATTATAAAACTAAATGAAATTCAGCAAGTAATATTTAGTCTTAATATCAAGTTCAAAATCTGTTTTTAATTTGCAGTGCCTAAATCTAATACTACAATATTAATAAGTGCATGATATCAAAGTAAATTCAAATAAACATTACCTTGTTTGACTCAACTTCAGTTTGCTCTACCACATCATCACAACCATCCTCACAAACTTCTTTATCAGCAGCAACTTCTATAAATTTTGATGGTATGTTTGTTGATGCTTTCTCGAACATGTGGGAAATATTTGGAATACGGGGCGAGTTAGATACATTACAAGTTTGACCTGAAATCTCCACCTTCAGCATCTCTATTTGCTTTTGAAGAAGTTCTTGCGCAGCTTTGTGCTTTTTCTGTTGTTCTTCCATCATCTTTTTTGTCTCTTGTAACAAAACATCTCGTTCTTTCACCATTTCCTTTGACACACACTCCCTCTTTTTCCTAGGAACGTTGAAGAACACATTTGGCTTCACATAGCCTCCCACATCCCTCACCCTTCCACCATGTTTAGGGGTCCCCAAAGCCATAGCTAAGACATCATTATAACCAGATATGGTTATAAGGCCTTCTTCTTTCTCCTTCAACAATTTCTCCTGATTTAGATTACACACACACACACACACACACACACATATATTAGAATGATATAATTTTGTTTTACAATTGACTTATTATTTTACAAATATACTTACAATTGTTCCAGCCAATTGAGCTACCTCCTCATCAAGAATCTTCCCGTGCTACCTTCCATAGAAGAGCTTGATCTACTTCCTCATCCTTTGCCACTATCTTCTTATCTACCTATTCAAGATAAACTAAAGTTAGCACAAAGCAATTTACTCCTACTGACCCAACTATATACAAATTCTCCATATATATACTTATTAATTCTTCTACCACTCCAATATATCCTTTACAACCAGTTCTATGATGATATTTACATTTATTGCGCCTCTCCTTTTGGAGTTCATGGATTTCCTACATTACAAACAACAAGTTTATGTCATATTTACAAATTTGATCATACCTGCCAATTTTGGAGGCATAGATAATTTTTGGAGAGCAGATTGCAAAGTAATTACAAATCTGATAATACCTGCCAATTTTCACTCAATCTAGAGATTACAAAACTTTGCCAATCTGATAATTCAATGAAGTCATACATTTTAGGAGGCTCCTTCAAGGCTTCTGGGTTATTCATATGCGGAAGTACGTACTTCCTTGCAAAGCCGGTCCTGGGTTTTCTAAGGCCCAGGGCAAATTTTCTCAAGTGTGCCCCTTTATACAAATTAAACAAATAAATAAATAAATTATCAACTAATTAATTTTATTAAAATTTTAAGAATTTACAAAAGATAAGGAAGAACACTTTGGGGCCTCATTAAAACCTTGTTTGGGGAAAACCCAATGGGACAAAACCCCAAACGAAGGAAAAAGAGTACCCCGGATTGTAAAAATTGCATTAAAAAATGAAAACTACATATTTGAGTCTACATGCTTCCTCCCGAATCTCCATAAGCATTTCTTGATTTGATCAATCTTCTTTTCATCCTCCACAATTAATCGAAGCAAAAAATCATCACATGTACCTACAAAATAAAAATAGCAATGAAATCTGAACCACAAAACATCATTTAAAATGTCTTCTTGTTGCACTTTTAGATGCAAAATCATCAATTATACTATCATATTTAATGTTTTCTAACATATCCTTTTCAATGCATAATATCGCTAATCCATTTAGCCTATCTTGAGTTATGG